CAAATTATTTTTCCATTCTGTCCCGTAGTTAGTGATATTATTATTAGAGAAGGGTGCGGCTTCTTTTAATAAGAATATATTCTTTGCCCACTACAGCTCACGGCATTCGTGACTCGAGGATGTGGCTAACGGCTCTGTGCATCTTTAAAAAAAAATACCTTAAAATATTTCAGCTATGATAAACAGGTACTGTAACCTCAGTGCCTGTTGTATTTCCCCACTCTGATAAAGTCATGGGAAGAAATAATTGACATGCTGAAGTTATCTGACGGCGTTTCCTTTGGGCCAAATCCTGTGGGCGAGACTTGTGTGAGTCCTCTCTGCTCTAACTGAGAGCAGGAGGGCTCCGACAAGCAAGTTCCGATTGCTGAATGGTATCACTAATCATCCTAAATTATATCTCTTCCTTTTTCTATAGAGGCATTAACATTAAACATAACCTGCATCAGAGTCTTTATTTTGCCTGGCTTTGGTTGTTTTATCATGGTACGTAGTCTGATATTGTAAAAGACGATGGGCAGTATTAATTTTTTGCTTGTTTGCGAAGTTTTGCTCGGTTGTTTCGCCCCGTGGAAGTATGAGGGAGGAGAAGCCGAGTACGGTTTGGTCTCGAGGGGTGTGTGGACCCCTCCACCAGCAGTGGTGACCCTGGTGCGGACCTTTCCCTCACCCCACACCTCAGCCGTGCAGCTCAACTGGCGCAGACTCCGGGCAGGCTCAGGGAAAGACATACTTGGTTATTATTTACCTGATTTTTTGAGGCGACGTGGGAAAGCTGAAAGGAAAGGAAGGCCCAATTGTCCTGCCAATTGCCGTGTTTCGTGATGTTCATCCAGCAAGCGCTGGAAGTGCAGGAACTGAAGATGAGTTTCTAATTTGCACCCAAATTCTGATTCATCCACCAGGACAGAAACCCGTGATGTGCTCGTTTCCAGTTAAAACCTCCTGCCATGTTTTCCGAACATGATATTCTGCTCTTGTTTCAGCTGCCATTGGTCGTGGCCGTAAAACTCGTGGCCCGTGGCTGTCAAACGGGGGGAGATGGGATGTCAGCGGAGCTTCCACTTGGGTATCGGAAATGTCTGGCTTCTTTTTAGTCTGGAGAAGAGAAGACTGAGGGGGGATCTTATCAAAGCTTATCAATCCTTCAAGGGCGGGTGCCAGGGGGATGGGAACAGTCTGTTTCCAGCGGTGCTCAGTGAGAGGACAAGAGGGAACGGGCACAAACGTGACCATGGGCAGTTCCATCTCCACCTGAGGAGGGCCTTCTCTGCTGTGAGGGCGGCAGAGCAGTGGCAGAGGCTGCCCAGAGAGGTGGGGGAGTCTCCCCCTCTGGAGCCATCCCAAACCCGCCTGGACGCCGTCCTGTGCCACTGCTGGAGGTGCCCCTGCTCTGGCGGGGGGTGGGATGGGGGAGCTCCAGAGGGCCCTTCCCACCCCCACCACTCTGGGATGCTGTGATCTAGAAACCTCTGGGAAGAAGGTGGTGACAAAACTGCATGTGAAACACTTTGCAAATAAGAGATGAGACGACCTTACGTTTCTCCTTTGCAATTCTGACAAGTATCTGATTTGCAAGCTGAGGTTAAATTATCGAGTGTTTTATCCATAAACCTTGTGTCATGAGCTGGCATGTCACCACCTTCCTTCTCCAGAGCGGTGGAGCTTTTCTGTGCGTTGTAGCCATGGTGGTCTAAGAGCAAAACCGAGGCCCAGTTTTCAGAAAGAAGTAGTGTTTTTCGATACACAAAGAATTCAAGATCGTGGGGGAAGAAGACTGGGTAAACAAACCTTGACTGTCATGATCTGGAGTTATCTTAGGTTGTGCCAGCGCTGGCAGAGGTGGCATGGCCCTACTTGGAGCTGTGAAAGGGAAACGTGTGTGTACAGGAAACACATATGGGAAAGGCTGTAAATGCAGAATAAATACATTCATAAAGTTGGCGGGGAAAATGCTGCTACCTACCTAATTTCAACGGTCAAGATTTAATTCTGAGTTGGTTTCCTTTTCTGTATTTGCTTGATGAAAGAGCTGCAAGTAGATGTATTGAAAAGTAAACATCTAGACTGGGGCAATGACCTCGAGTTAAGTGTGGGTACAGTAGGAGTGGAGTAGGTGGCTGGGTTTTTTTTTTTTTCCCCTCTTAATGAACTTAAAAAACCAAGTATGAATCATGCTGGGGGTGCTACAGGACTTTCTGATCGAGTCAGTGGGATACCACAGTTTCCAAGGTAAGCCCAAGTATCATGTTCAGAATTTTAAAAGTTAAACTGAGCGACATTAAAGTTAATAACTTGGAGGAGCTGCTGGCTCAGGCTGGGTGCTCAGCAGAAAACCCCAGAGATATCTCAACAAACCTGACCACAGGAGGTAATAAAAAGACATTTTCCACTAAGAACTCCATAAAATCATGGACTCCTGCAGAATAAATGACTTTCTGATGATAGCGTTCCTCTTCTGTCCACCACCCCAGTTTGTGCCCTGACTGGTGTAGCTGTCTCTGGTTTTGTGAGGTTCTGTGAACACGGATCAGCCCTTCAGGCGTGTGGTTGGACAGGCCAGCTCCAGAAAATGTTCTGGTTTGATCTGTTTTTTCTCATAGGGTTGGACAGGAGCACGTTTGTTCATCTCTAGGGTTTGTGAAGCTAAACTAAGTGCTCTTCAACTGGGGGAGGGAGCTGCATCCGCTCGAGTAAAACCCTGGGACTAAGGGAAAATTACAGATAGGTGACATTAAACAGTAGCTTCAAGAATGAAAAACATTGGAAGATATCCAGTTTTAAAGTGGATTGTTTTAAGCTTGGTGCGTTTTAAAGTGTTGTGGAAGGTGAGGTGGAGCTGAGAATATGAGCAAACCCAGGTATTAGTCAGCAGCTACTCCGGGTGGAAGGTTAGTAGTGGGTTGCATTTACTGTCTGTGCTGTGGAATTATTGAAGTACAGTAATTCAGCAGGTTTGTTTCCTTGTGTAGGACCCATCTTTTCATGCACAACCAGAAAAAATCATCCTTTACCAGGTTGTTGGAATACGGCACTTCAGAACCCTGTTTCAATTCAAATCGTGTTGGGACTTCAAATGCCTTTGTAGGCTTTGACTTTTGTCAATTTGCCGTTTCGTTTCAGTTTTCAAAGATCACTGCGATGTGGGTGTTGCCAAAGCGCTGATCTTGCATGGGATGCAGGAAGATGTAGACAGCTAAACCGAGACCAGTATCGCCCCATCTCCACCGCTGTCTTAATCTGGAGATGCCCCATGGTTCGGGGCCTTCTGAGCATGCCAGAAAACTACTCCGGTTTGGACTGAAGAGTGAAAATAGGACAGGGTTTTTTTTTCTCCACATAATTTACAAATACTGTGTCTCTTTCTCCTTCTTACCACCTTTTAGTCAGCTGCAAGAATTGGTTCTGACATCCCACTCTAGACTGGATATTGGTTAGTGATTAAGGCATTATGGGAAATGGTGCAGACCTTCTGGTTTGTGTGTGTAGATGAATTGTATCTGTTTTTACATTTGTGATGAATCCTACTTTCACGACAAGTCATTTCTATGGCTGTTAGTGACTTCAACACAAATCCTTGTCCAAAACCCGTAGACTGAGGTAGGCTGAGTACAAGAGGGGTGAAGCGCGTTCAGCGGCAGCAAAGGTCTAAGCACCAAGATAAGATTTATCTTGCAAACAGGTATCTGCGATGTGTCTGAGTTAGAAGACCATTTGATAACTCCGTCACGTTTTGTCACAGCAGTTTCAAATTCCTGTCTCAGCCTTTCCCTGGGCTTAGAAGAACTGCAGATTTTTAACTGATACCAGCTTGATTCATTATGGTACATATCAATTGTCTTTTGGCTCAATTTTATGGCAAACTGTATTTCTATCTGTGTTTAGAGAAGTCAGCAATCTGGGTTCCCCCGTCTTCACTAAGTCTGGAGGACAAACCCCTTGAAATCTGTGGTGCCCGAGAATCCCACCACTTTGCTGCCTGTACCCACAGACACAGGCAGTGGGCAAGCAAGCTTTGGGCAACCCATCACCCATGTCCTCTTCTATCTGTTGTCTTGGTACTGTCATTGCAGACTGGGAGTACTGGTATTGTTGTGACCAAGATTGCTCTTAACCACTAGTTTGTGATAGTCATTTTTCTAAAAATTTCTTCCCTTTTATGTCTCTGCCCAAGACTTGACTGTTTTGCAAAGGTACAGATACATGTCAGAGAAACAGCATCTGGCACCTGGTTTGTACTGGTACAGGCAGAGCTATGCAAGGTCTTGTGCAAGGAACATCATGCCGTGTATCTTTATTAAAGTGTGTGATTCGGCACCTGTTTGGATGTAGTCAAAACCTGTATAAATGCTGTATACTGAAAAGATCTGAAAATTTCAAAGCAAAAGCTCTTCAGTGTGCTGGGAGAAGGTATCGCCACCGAAGTGGACACGCAACGTGGAACCTCAAGGTTGATTTGGTCAGGCTTGTGTTAAAGCTCATCGGAAACCAGCAGACATAAAAAGCAAGGATTTTAGTGCTGGGGGGCAAAAGCAGAGGGTGTGAGAGGTGGGTGTCAGGTCTCTTTCCTCCTCGAGGGTTGCCCTGTGGGGCTGCGCTGGGTCCTGTAAATCCCCACTGAACATCCTGACCCTCGAGCCACCCGGCAGCACCCGCCAGCCGGAACCCGTGCCCGGCCCCGGTCTCCAAAGTCTTTGAATGATCTCGTGGTCAAGATTGGGGTTTCTGTCCCTTTGTGCAAAAACCCCACAGACTTTGAGCCTTTTGACTTATCTCTGGTGACATAATGACATTCCACATTCGGTAACTGTGCATGATATAAATGACGACACTTGGCTCTGCTTGTTATACGAAGTTTTAATTGCTGTGGACAGTTTTAAGTGCTGTTTACAGGTTTAATCCACCTACTTGCATTAATGCTGAGCAAAGATTGTGATTTGTAACAGCCATTTCTTGCCCCCTTTCCCCCCCAGCCCCTCTGGCTGCCCGGGCGCTCTTCCCTAGAGCACGCCTTGGTGGGATTTCCACAGGTCAGGGCAGTGGCATTTGCCGTCCGGATACAAACCCGACTCACTTCTCACGATGTTGCTGCAGTTCTGCTTCCCGTTGATCCATTTCAAGAATTCTTCCAGGCTCTCTTTAAAGCGTGTGAAATTTGTTTGTGTCATCTCTGAACATCTACTGTCGTTGGACGAAGGTTTCTAAGGGAAAATGGTAGATACCGATGCACAGGTTACGAAGGAATGTAGCGGGAGGGGGAATGGCTTTAAACTGGAAGAGGGCAGGTTTAGATTAAACATTAGGAAGAAGTTTTTCACTTTAAGGGTGGTGAGGCACTGGCACAGGTTGCCCAGAGAGGTTGTTGAGGTCCCATCCCTGGAGGTGTTCAAGGCCAGGCTGGACGGGGCTTGGAGCAACCTGGGCTGGTGGGAGGTGTCCCTGCCCAGGGCAGGGGGGTGGAACAAGATGATCTTCCCAGTCCTTTCCAACCTAAACTATTCTATGATTCTATGTATTCCACCCAAATGCTGCACGTTCTCCATGGCTTCCTCAGCTCACTGGGAGGGAGGATGAAGCCGGCTAGCTGCCCTTCACCAGCCCCAAACCATTTCACACAATTCCTACAAACCATTAGTCAAATAGTACCTTGCTATCTGTCTTTGACTTTCCTGGTACTGCAATTTTTTCTGGTTTTTTTTTTTGGGGGGGTGGAGGAGTTATCTGCCAAACTGGAAGAAGAGAAGTCAGGTCAAAACATCTCTCTCATAACATCCACGCCCTGGGGACAGAGAGGCAGTGGGGGATGTCACTGCTGTAAGTACAGCCACTGGCAGAACACGTGCAAACCCTGATTTCTACCCCCTTATTTTCTCTCTTTTTCTCTCTTCTGTATTCAAAAGGCAGATTTCTTTCTCTGTGATGTTCCTGGTCTGTATCTTTTCTGCTATTAATTGCCCTTTTCTTCCTGAAGGACAAGCTGTACAGGTCATTATTAATTGCACCTAATAAATAATCTCCATTACTGCAGGTCCACATGAACTATATTAATATAGTCTGTTCAAGAACGAATTTGTGCATGATAGACAAACCTCGATATCCCTCCTCGAGGCTGCAGCTGGGCCAAAATGAAAAAGGAGGAACAATTTCTTTGCGAACCAATCTCAAAACTTTGACTTAGAATTTACCCAAAAGTGACCCAGAAGTTAAGTGACAGGCGAAGTCTTACTGAACAACTTCAACTGATGTTTCTTCACTTATTACCTTAGGGGAAATTAACTTTCAGGGAAGCTTGATGGGGTTTTTTTAAAATCATAAGGATAGTTCCTGATGTTTTCTCAGCAGATCTCTAGATTTATTTAAAGATTCATGCCTTATCCTCCGTCCTGTGCCAAAACGAAGGTGAAGGCGTTGGTGTGGTCCAGGAGCTGCAGCAGCGTTGCCCAGGAGGAGGAAGGGCCGGCCGTGGCTCTCCAGCTGCTGGGTCGGGAGAGCCCACGACCGGGCATTGGAACAAAAGCACCCGGGATAAAAAATCTGCATGAATTGATAGCTACAAGAAAATATTTGCAACTCAACTCAAATGAATAGTAAAAAGCTTACCTTCAACATGGGACAGGTTTTTTCCAGCTGTATCATATCTTGTTCAACTGTCTTCATGCACTTACATGTGGGTATCTTCTCCAGTTCCTTAATAAAGTTTTTGGTGTTATAATGTGCACAACTTCGGTTCTAGGAGAAAAAAGGAAAATAAACAGTGTTCTAGTTTGCAACCAGAAAGCTTTTCTTTATAAAAAGAACTGTTGATAAATCATATTGAATACACTGTTATTTTTGTCTGGAAATCTTAATTTCTTTTATCTGATTTCCTTCTTATACGTTCTTTTAAGAAGTCATGTTATAAGGACAGTTTTCATAACTACTATAACTGGAAACTTTGCAATAAAAGAGGTCTAGTTTCTGTCAATGGTCAATGTGACAACATTGGGAATTTGATTGAGTTCCATCTAAATTGGAGAGTGATTTTTTTCTTTGCCTCGGAAACAGGACACTTACAGAGAGCCGCTTTAACCATTTTTGTCTTTGTATTGCCAGTCATTTGGAGACCAGACTTTGCAACCACCAACAGAAATTTCTCCAGAAAAGCATTAAAAAGAATCCATAAAAGTGGAGGCAGTGCATACTATTTATCTTTGTTAGCAATTAGAGTGGGTTATTAGCCACAGTCCCGGAATCTTTTAAAAAGATGACATTGCATTGGAGTTTTGGGACAGCAAGAGGAGCACAATCACCTCTAAGTGGAGAAGAGTGAGGTCGAGCCCTGGGCTCCCCAGCCGGCCATCCCATCTCTCCTGGTGTTTACGTCTTGCCTTTAAATGTCCTCAGACCTGCTACACCAGCGCTCACGCACCAAGTTCCCTTTGGAGACTCTGACTGATAGTAATAGAGTAGTAAACAAGAGCTTCTTACCTTGATGTAAAGCGGTTTGGAGAACGACTCCTGAAAACGATAGAAATCCGTTAGTTACAAATTGGAAATCATCTCAAAGAGCAAATCTGGGGTGGGGGAAGTGGGAAACAATTTACGTTTATGGCCTCATTTTCAGCTTTAAGTAAGCAAAGCATCTCGTCAATTATTGCCGATTTAGCCTTGTTCTGCACATGCGGCGTTTCCTTCAGAGGCAGAAAGTAGCTGGACACCCCAGAGCTCAAAAGAAACAAGAACAAGCGAAGATACATTTTAAAGGTGGTGTATCGGAGGAGCTCGACCTTTTATCTCTGCAATGGGCTTTGAACGCAAGCTCGGCTCTCTTGGCAGGTGCTAAGCTGGCTTATATAGAGAAGCTGATGTGATGTGCAGGATGTGATTACTATCTTATCTCATTCATAAATCATTAAAATAGGAAAGAGACAAGAACTCGAGCAGTCGAATTAGCGGTATATCTGATCTGAGAAACATTTATGAGTGACGTTCTGGTAAACTTCCTAAAGCATCTAACTGCGGAGCAGCGCTCCGATGCCAGCGAGCGCAACGCACAGGGCACTAATCGTGTACAAGATACCGTAAAAGAATAGTAATATCTGCAGAAATTATTCTACTTGTAGTAGCACAGCCATGAAGCTGACTTTTTTCCCACCAGATGAGATGACATCCTATATTGCTGTAAATTCTTGCAGTTTAAAGATTTCGGTGCCCCTGGAGCTAAGATCAGCCGGAGATGGAGCCCGTAGGGATGAATCAATCCTCTCCGTCCCTACAGCGCGCCTCGGGCAGGTGTGGGGGCGCAGAGGGCTGCACGGATGCGCAGAGCAGCCTTGCAAAACTGGCTACTTTGCTACGGCCAGTATCTTTTTTCTTTGACCTGAAAAGAAAACCAAAAAGTTGTTTGTTCGTCGTAATTAGTAAGCGTGAGGGCTGGATCGTACCCCGACCTAATTAATTTTCACGACAGTGCCGTGCAAATCTTCAGCCTCAGCTGTCAGCTCCTTGTTCTCAGGGGGAGGGGGGAACACCCGTCCCTTCGTTAGTGATACTTGGGCCCTTATGTAGCAGCGCTTCACCATGGTAATTAGGTGCTTTGTGTTGTAGCATGTGGGAACGCGTAAGCGAGTGGGGGGAGAAGGGCTGAGAGGACAGTGGGGCACTGTGCAGCAGTGGGGTCAGGGGTGCTGTGGACCAGGACACTGGTGACAGCTCTTCCCCGGCTGTCGGGGGGCTGCGGCTCCCCCAACGCAGCCGGCTAAGGGCAGAGCGGACACACGAGGGAGTTCCCTCCCAGATAACTCCGTATGCGAAGAGTGAAATTGCCAGAGCGATTGCAGAGCCGGGGCTCAGATAACTCTAAGATAACGCAGCCCTAAAGAAAAAAAAGGAAAAAAAAGTCTGATTTGTTCCAGGATGGGCGGCAATTAATATTACAGTTAATAAAAGAAGTGTTATGGAGGGAGCACGTGGTGAGGAATTATTTCTGGCCACCAAGAAAAGGGAAATCACTGATTGTCAGCATTAGTGCCAACGGCACCTGGCAGCGTGGCGGGAGGTGTCGTGCCCTGCGCCGGGAACGCCCGTGCAGCCCGTGCTCCATCACCTTCTCCGTAACAGCTCCGACTCCGGCAGAGAGCTGTAAGGAAGTCTTTTATAGCGCCAGAAGAAATAAGGCTTGGCAAGCGCTATTTGGAAAGGGTTAGCGAAGAGCCAGACGCTCAGCTGGAGCACATCAGCACAGAGCTCTGCAAATATCCCTGTCAACCCGTGCCAGCTGCGGGCCTGGCCTAAATATTTCCCATATGGTCCAGTTTCTGGTGTAAATCTATATTTGATTTTTAGATGGGGTATTTCATACCAACCGACGAAGTGCAGAAGTGGCAGATGGGGTTTACCAGATTTGATTAGGGAAATCTTTGCTGTTGAGTCAGGGATTCATTTCACCTTGGAAAGTCTTCTAAATGTAATATGAAAATTTGAGACTGGATGATGTTTTAAGTTCTTTGTCTAGATATGTTGTGGGTTGTCCCTACTATATAATGCAAGTCTGGTTGGTAACCATGGCCATGTTATTCACTGTTCATTTGACTTCTCCAGTTTGCAGAGCAGGTACTTACCTTCTCCAGTGCTATGTGAAACATTCTTGTAGCACCAGAATCAGAATCACAGAATCACGTAGGTTGGAAAAGACCTTTAAGATCATCGAGTCCAACCGTAAACCTAACGCTGCCAAGTCCACCACTGAACCACAACCACTTGGGAAATGATTGTCAGGGCAGCCCTGCTTTGATTCACTCACTGATGAAAGGCCTGAATCACTCTCTCCAAGGGGAAAATTTCAGTATCAAACTGCTCTTGGTTCTCTGGTGTCCAGGCCCCCTCATTTCCCAACCAGGCTCTTAGGAGACCAAGTGGCTTCTGCAAGCTCTTTTTGACCAACAGCCCGAGGTAGAGTTGATTAAAATGAGTCACTAAAATGAATGTTCAAATGTGCTAACCTGGCACACTGAAAGATCCAAAAAACCGACAAAGATGTCTCTGTACTTTCTCCTGTATAAACTTCAGTATCTCTTGGTAACACTGGGGAGTCTGTTCTGCTGCTCAGCCTGGAGGTGGGAGGGGAGCGGGCAGGACAGCCTGTCTCCTGTACCTTCTCCCACCCCTGTTTGCATCACCTGCCCCGGGGAAGCTGCTGACAGTGGGCTCAACCACCATCTCACTCTGTGTGAGGATTTAATAACCAGATCCACCAGATGCAAACCACTGTGTAGGCTGTACATTCATCTAAGCCATTAGGCAAATTCTGACACCTCCTAAATCCATTTATTGAATCATTTTCACACCGGATGCCATTTGGAACAACGCCGCTCCTTTTAATACTCGCCCACTTGGAAAACATACCCTGGCTTAATGTCAAATAGCTTTAAAACTGGTGGAGAGAAGTAGCGAGATGTTATCGATAGGCTGGAGCTGCGAGAAAGCAGCTCGCTGGGCTGTGTGCAGGATGCTGCGGGGACCGGGGCAGGTACCCAGTCCTGTCCCCCCCCCACTGCCTCCTGCTCCCGGCCGGCATCTTCTCAGGGGCTTTAGGCCCAATACGATTGCAGCCGTGCTTTGATTTTAACTTTTTCTGTAACAAGAGGCAAGGATCTGCTGGGCTTTATTAAACCCTTTTGATCTCCAGCCTTTTGGTAAGAAAAAGATGTATTGTTATTGTATTTGGTAAGAAAAGGTATTATACACAGGGCAGCTCACGTTTGTAACCGGCTGAAGAAGTTTCCAAAGGGTGTTGGCAGAGGGAGTTTTGAGAAGCTGGGATAAGCGAGCAAGCGCACAAAATTCTCCAAAATAGTGAAAAAATGTGGAAGGTTAACGACTGGGAGTTTGTGCAAAGAGGTGACCCCTCCATCAGTCGGCTCAGCCCGAGCGCTGCCGGGGAGCCGCGGGCACGCAACCCCTTTTTCAAGCTCCTGGAGAAAACAGCCAGTCTGAAATCTTCCTTCACCTTTCGGTGATACTTCTGAGCTCTTTGGAGTAATACAGAGATAAGTTGTTGAAAAACCGAGCGAGCCCGGCCCCGGCAGCGCCCCCTCCCCTCCCTGCCCGGCTGCCGCCGCGGGGCGCATGGAGCAGGCGAGAGCCGCCACCTAGAGAGCGGCCACTGCTAGTTGCAGACAGAGCTTTATTTTCTCGTTTTCGGAGGGGAAAGACTTGCCAAACCTCAGCAGATCCCGAGAGCGTGTGCGGGCAGCGGAGCGCGGTGAGCCGCCCGCTCTGCGCTTCCCCCGAGAGGCCGCGGAGGTGTCCGCGGGAGACGATCTGCGTTGGAATAACCCCAACTCCGCTCCTGTGCGCATCTTAACGAGCGATGGGCAAGGTGGGGTCTGGGGGTAGATGTATCTGCCGTTCCCCAAGCACCAGGCAGCAAGGATGGTGGGTTCAGCCTGCTCGGAGGGAACCATTTTCACAGAATCGCAGCATCCCAGAGTGGTGGGGGTGGGAAGGGCCCTCTGGAGCTCCCCCATCCCACCCCCCGCCAGAGCAGGGGCACCTCCAGCAGTGGCACAGGACGGCGTCCAGGCGGGTTTGGGATGGCTCCAGAGGGGGAGACTCCCCCACCTCTCTGGGCAGCCTCTGCCACTGCTCTGCCGCCCTCACAGCAGAGAAGGCCCTCCTCAGGTGGAGATGGAACTGTCTATGGCCAAGTTTGTGCCCGTTCCCTCTTGTCCTGTCACTGAGCACCACTGGAAACAGACTGTTCCCATCCCCCTGGCACCCACCCTTGAAGGATTGATAAGTGTTGATAAGATCCCTCCTCTGTCTTCTCTTCTCCAGACTAAAAAGCCCCACGTCCCTCAGCCTTTCCTTGTAAAAAAGATGCTCCAACCTTCCAACCTTCCTTCCCCACCATGAGTAATGGTCCACAGCATCTCCCGGTAGTCCTGGCACACTGCTCTGTCTCCATCTCAGCAGAATTTTGCCAACAAATGTAAAACTTTGTTTGGAAGCAAATTGAGCCTTTTGCCATGTGTTCCCTTCACATCCCTCAGGGTCATGGTCCCTTCTTCCCTTGGGAGGTTGTAACTGTTCCTCTCTCTCACACCCAATTCCAAACAAGAGAGCGGCTTTGGATGCAGTGTGTTGGATTGTGATGCAGCTCTCCAAGGAGCTTTTGGCCTTTGAGCTGGAGGTCAATAACCACCCTTTCAGACCAGCTTTTCAGCAGGCTGCGTGCCAGTCTTGGGGAGATGGGACTAGAACGTCCCCTCGGGTCCTTCACGAGGCTGTCCTCGCAGGCACCATCCCAGAGCCCAGATACACCCAGCGTTACCTTCCTGCCCTCTCACCCGCTCACAGGATGAGCTGCTTTGACCTAAAGCCACTAAAAATGTTGAACCTCCTTTTCCATGCACTCTGCATTTTTGTAAGTATCGGTTAATGCTTTATTCCTGGCTATTTTGGGGAGGCAGAGTGATGATGACTGAACCTACCATTGTTTGGGTTTTTTCCTCCCTGTCCGTACAATGACTACTGTGTCTGACTTCCCCCGCCCTCAAGAAACTCCTCTTCAGATGTTATTAAAAATATTAGCTAATTCTTCAAACATGTTAGTTGCCTTAAGTAATCCCTGCAGATTCCGGCACGGATTTCCCTGCCTCTTCAACCTGCCCTTTCCTGCAGGCAGCGTGGTGTTTGGGGGATCCCGCAGGCACACCACGGCTTGCACAAGTGCTGCTCTCTGCTAAATTCTCTGTGAATCATGCTATTCAGGGAAATTTTTGCAGGTGCTCGGTGTTGCCTGCAAAAGTAGATCAAGAGAATGGGCTGGGCTAGGACTGAAGGTGAAATTCCAGTGGGAGATTCCCCTCGGAGGCGAAGTTGTGTGCCCAACAACCCCGATGGTCCGTGGGGACGCAGGGGCCACTGCGGGCGAGCGCTGCTCCTCCGTCCCAGCCCTAAATAGGGATTTATGGCTGAATGCTACACGTTTGCTTTCTTCCGTGGAGGTGAATCTTCCTGTAATCGGAATATCCAGGCGGGTGGGAAAGGGGAGATGCTGCAGTGAGACATCCACCCACTGTGCAGTGAGAGCAGAGAAAGAAACAAAATCCTGACTCAATATTTAAGTGCTCCTTTTACCCAAATTTGAACACACTGGTAGTCTTAGGTGGTGTCTGGACCTCATGGTGAATCTCTGCACAGGGGGATCAATCATCTGTAGAATATACAGATGATTAATATAGAATTAATATAATAGAATTAATATAATATATTAATATAGAATATTAATTTACGTATTTCTGAATAGAAAGCCCCCCCCAAATGATCAAAAACTCACCACTAGAAGACCCTGATTCAATCGATCTGATTTTTTTTAGATGGAATATTCCTTAAGTCACAATAAAACCTCACAAAATAAAAAACTGTAAGAGTTACACCTTTGTGCAAGAGATTTATTTTGCATAGATTCTGTTAGAGTTTGGTTACATTTCATAGAGTTCTGTATACAAGTTTCCCAAATATTTAACTGTAAAAAATGTATACGCGATGTGTTGACAGCACACAGCTGTAACAGCAGTCATGTTTCCACAATTTGCACTTCACATTTTTTTACATTTTGAAATGATTGTCATTGCGTCACTAGCATAGTAATATTCTTCTGTTACTATAAGTACTTAAGCATAATTTAAAAAGTGAGAGTTGCATCCTTTTAAGAGACTCTCCTCTGAAAATGCCCCTAACCTCCTAAAGAGATGTGAAACTGCTCTGAAGGCATCTGGCAACTTCAGCTGCAGGAGCAAAATGCTGAAATTGCCTGAGCGCGGCAGCATTACTATGAAGACTTCATTATTTGATTGAAAACAAAAGCAATATGGTACGTACCAGACTCTTAGTCACCAGGTTATATTTAGGTGGTTTATCCCTATGGGGCACTTTCACTCAGTGAAAGTCGTATTTACGTTCACACGCTCTAAGTGGGTATGAGCCGTGCCTTAAGTTTGCAAGAGGTCTTTTTGTGGGTTTGCTAAGGGTGACGTCCTTGAGAGCCACCGTTGGTCGTGTTTGGTGGGGGCTCAGGGCTTCCAAGGCCAGCAGCCATCTGGCCGTGCCGCAGGCTGGTCCCGGGGCCGACAGGGAGGTGAAGGTGCTGGGTGGCACCCATGGTCCCCGTCCCCGTCTCACAGGGCGGCTTTGCCCCAGTTTTGAGAGCACTTGGGCGCTGCGGGGCTGAGCCCTGGGGCTGCGGCTCGGGCTAGTGTGCTAGAGATATAGTGTGACAGCAAATCCGAAGCCGGATCCGCAGGGCTCCTCCTCACACACCATTAAATAGCAGTTTCCGAAAAAGTAAATAATTATTGCCTTTCTTCATTGTAAAAATAAATAACTTGAATTTTCCACAAATAAATAGAATAAATAAATATGAATAGATCTATGAATAAATAATAGCTCCCAATAGCCTCGATCATTGGAGTAAGGGTACGCAAATGAGGATATGCAAAGCTCCAGTCTCCTGGCAGGTTGGACCAGGGGTGCTCCAAACTTCTTTGAAGACTACGCTGTTTCCTCTGAAAGGGCATTGTGATTCAGGAACCTTAATAAGTATTCCAAATTACTGAAAAAATCCTCCTCTTCCACTGGCTCCCAGTCCTGTTCCTTGGGGACAGACAGAAAGGAAAAGAGTTAAAAGAACAGAATCTGGACACAGAAGTTGCATCCTGTTACCTGACTGTAGTTTTTTACTTAATATTTAATTTTAAGACCACAAAGGCTCTGATGAAGGTCGGACAGCATGTTGCACCTAGTGCAGCCATCCCCCAGCAAGAGCAGCCTCTGCCCCTGGGGTTGGGGCAGCAGCTCCAGTCCCCATCGCACCGGGGCACCTCCGTCAAATGATGGATTTTGTCTTAGCCAGGAGAGATGGGGAAGAGGAGAGCAGCGCAGTGAAGGTCCCAGGGCCATGGCCAAGTGACAGCCACTGGCTGGAGAGCGCTCCATCAGGCACCCGATCGGGAGGCAGCAGTGGGCTTTAGTCAGGCGCTTGTTCTCGGTGCAATCAGGACAAACCCCGCAGGGTAGCTCACGGTCATCTAAAAGATGCAAAATAGCAAACAGAAAATCCAACCCAAACGTACCATCCACTCGAGGCATGACTTTCCGTCGTCCTGGATTTTCTGCAGCTTCTGAGCTATTAGTCTCTCCTTTGACCTCTCTTCACTGTTTTTTAGGGCTGTAATAAATCCTTCCAGATAGGTGGTTACATTCCCTCCCGCCTCCATCATGTGGTTCTGGAACAACAAAGTTAAGCCATTTCTGTCTTTCTGTACTCTATTGCTGGCACAGTTTGTATCACATTAATGCAATTAAAATGCCTACTACAAGAAATAATCATAGAATCATAGAATCATAGAATGGTTTAGGTTGGAAAGGACCTTGAAGATCATCGAGTTCCACCCCCCTGCCCTGGGCAGGGCCACCTCCCACCAGCCCAGGTAGCTCCAAGCCCTGTCCAGCCTGGCCTTGGACACCTCCAGGGATGGGACCTCAACAACATTTCTGGGCAACCTGTTCCAGTGCCTCACCACCCTCACAGTGGAAAATTTCTTCCTAATGTTTAATCTAAACCTGCCCTCTTCCAGTTTGAATCCGTTCCCACCTCGTCCTATCACTACATGACCTAGTAAAAAAATGTTGCGCAATAGTTTGAGGCCAACATTTTATAGTAACTTTGGGCATCTCAGAGCAGGAAACCTGCTCTGCAAACCAGTGCT